TAATTTGCATATTTTAACTAATTTTCATATGAAGATGTGCGTAAAAAAATTGGCGACTCATTTTATTGGATTCATCATACTTCAAAGTATATTATATACCATCCAAAAAAACTAAAATGATCACAAAATCCCACGGGAGCCCATTTTTCGACATATGCCCTCAGCCTAAATAGGCTCACTTACTTCCACATCTTGTACAGACATATCATCCAGATTGTCAAATACTTCATAATGCTGGTTTCGGCAACTGATATTCCAGATAACTTCATCAATCGTTTCTTGAAAATAAGGCATACTGCAATCATTCTTAGCAGCCTAGCCCATGGTGAGAGCTTCAACGACAAGGTTCCAAGAAAGTCACTTTGAAAGGAATCAGATTGTTTAGCATATGTTGACATGCAAGATCTTTTCAGCTAGGAGCATTGATGAAAATTCATTTAGTTTCTTGACTGGGCTTTCATTGATTTGTCCATTTTCTCTTAGATACTGTGGTCCATACAGCATAGTAGAGTTCACCAATAGCTGCTTAGCAGTTGCACCTCTGCTGGCGATGTCGTCTGGGTTGGACGATGACCGAACATGTTACCAATCTTCGAATTGTGTCAGGTCATTGATTGTTTGGACTCGATTAGCGACATAAACTTGGTATCGCTTCATTCTGAAGGTAGCCCAGGCCAACCATGCTATCGGTCCAAAAATAATCCTTAGCTGAAATGGTCAATTGTGAATTTACAAACTCACTTGCACGAGCTAACAAAACTGCTCCTTTTATGTTCAAGTCAAGTAGAGACTTTCCTCTTTCATTCTCAGGAACAGCATCAAGTTACAGGGCTGTTAGATGACCACTTGTGTAAATGAAGACCAGCATCAGACAAATCAGCACTGCTAACAATAAGAGATTCTTCCACTGATGCCACGCTTTTAAGGCCATCATCCACGTAAAAGTTTTTATGGAGCTTCTCCCCCATTTCTTTTACCCCATCAACTGCAGCTTTTCTTAACCTGCAATTTGCACAAGCTGGAAAGCTCTTAGCTCCAAAAAGATGCACCTTCATACGATAATCGATGATGGAACTCTTCTCGTCGTTGTTTTTTGTCGTTGTAAACCACATAAACCGGAGCATATCTCTGTCGTCCTCCCTCACCACAAACTGATGAAACATGCTCTTTATATTACATGTTGTAGCTACTTTTCGGATAACTCTGTCCTTTGTAGGTATGTAGCTGATTTTGCCCTTGCTAAGTTCCACTTCCTCAGCACAATTCGTTAACACTCCATCCATGAAGTTGAAATAATCATCTTTGAATTGTAGCTGTCGTTCAAATCTTTTCTTGAGGCCCATTAACCGTTTTAATGCCATAAGCTTATTGTTTGGCAGACTTACATTGTTTCTCAGGGGTAGTGGCATCTCATATTGTCCGTTTGGTAGTTGAGTGGTATTCTCCTCCATGATAGTCTTCAGAGACCTCTTGTCTTCTACTGATATAACTTGTATAGTCTGGTCCTTCAAATCTAAATCAAAATATTCATTAACTCTCTGTGGAGTAATAATCACTTTATGTGCTGCAGTTGTATTTGTAAATCGACAAATTAACTTTTCAGGTGGTTTCTTACAAACAGTTCCCACAATTCTCTGACCAAGTACTGATTTTTGGCCATATGGTTGATCTTCTGTTCAGGCTCGTATGTCTCTGGGTCTAATTACACTGGGCACGTCACTTCCTAATAGCAATTCAATAGGTGCTCTAAAAATAAGTGGATAGATTTCACTGGCATTGCATTGCAAGTGGTCCCACTTACTAGCTACTTATAGAGTGGAAATTTGCGAACGACTAGCGGGAATGCCTTTCTAGTGAATACGGTGGGAAGAAACGCTGCTGTCATCCGGTCAAAGCTAATCACCTCTAGACTCTTAATCCTTGTTGACTCAATAGTCTGGCTGGTGTGCATAGTAGATAAATCAAGCTTTGTAGCTTGCCCATGAGCATTAATCTTTTTTATCAAATCTTCATCAACAAAGGATCTAAAATGCAATAGATTCGCGTTTCAGCACTATTCTTAGTATTCCTTAACCACGTAGGAATGATCATTGCATTGTCGTTGCACTTATCTTTATCGTCAGATACGGTTGTGCATCTACTGTGAACATCACCAACATTTTTACCAGTGCTCTCTTTCATCTCCTGTTCTTTAGTGTTGACATCGAAGTAAAGACAGGTCAAGAGTCCCTTAAAGCAAGTCTTGCACTTGACCTTGGCCTTACACTTGAACCGCTTGCAGTTGGGTTTACCACACTTGAAGCATAGATTGTGCTGAACAGGAAATCCTTACTTGCGAGTCTAGAAATACTCATAAAGGAAGTGCAGTTATCAATATCATGATTTGCCTTGCAGTACGAACATTGACCAACATTACTGACCTTTGTCTGAAAGCTGGCATGATCTTTTTTATAGGTTTTCTTGTCATTACTACTGCTGTGCTGTTGTTGTAATGACTGCATTTGGAACATCGGAGTGTTTGCTTCTTTCACTCATGCTTTTACAAATGCACTAAACTGCGCAATCGTTGGAAAACAAGATCTGTCAATACAAGAGCTTACGATAATCCTTCACTTAGCTTCGAGATGAAAGGGTAACTTGGATACCAATTTTCTATTTTCCTTGGGGTAATCAAATACTTCCAAGTCTGGAATGGTCTGCTTTGCTGCTACTAACTCCGCAAGGAAATCTTAGTGCGCTGCTATCATTTGGCGGCACTTTAGGCCACGTCTCTAGCTTACTTAACATAGCACTGGCTATCACAGACGAATCCGTATCTATTTTTAGCTCCTTTGCTAAATCATAGGATTCATTTGATGACAGAAGCAGATAATTGGCAACTAACGCCTTAGGCTCACCCTCTTAGTGTTCGGCTAATAAGTTTAATTGTCGTATTTACTGCATGCTTTAGCCTCCACAGTTACATCCCAGTTAAATTTTGATTAATTAAGGCTTCTAGATCGTAAGCAGGCTCCTTCCTATCCACTGGCAGTGGCTGTGTAAGTCAAACATCTGAAATTAATTTCCGCCTGGATGGATTCGGACTTAAGCCTAGGCCTTGTCCTAAGCCTGCCAAGTAATCATCGGCATCATCAGATACTTCGTCATCTGCAAGTGTAATTTCGGTTTTTCACCGATTCCTCAATTGTTTAATTTTCAGTTCTAATTTTTCGAATTCGTTGACAATCTAATTTTCAAGGCAGTCTCCCTCACTGACGAACGTAATTTGGGTGAGGACTGCAGCGGTGCATTGCTCTCTACTGAATCCATTATAAATTTCAAGGCCTTATACAGTAGTATAAATTAACAGTCACGCACCTACCGCCGTATCCTTCCGTATCGAGCCAGCCTGCTGCCAATAAGGTACGTTGTTAATAGGTTATTTGCTTTGACTATAACGTTCCATTTCATACAACGTATGGAGTATTCGCTAAGTTGAGCTCAGGGTTCCAAAATTAGAAAAGTCAGTTTTGTGGTAGAATTTATTTTTATTTTCAACACCTTCCAAGCCACCAGGTCTAAGAAAATTTGCCTTACTCTCTGGACTGATTTTACATGGTAACGTACAATTACTCATACGCAAACCAACTTAGGCTGCCAGGGTTGCCAGGATGTTCTAACAATATGACCCAAACTACGAGTACATTCGTTGCAAACATCTTTATGATAGATGTACGGCGAGACCCTTGACACTAGAAATTTTTGAATCGAAACGGCGATTACTTGGCCACATTCTGAGACAAAATACAAACAATCCTACAAACCTGGCAATCAATTTCTACTTCACCGAAACCAATAACAGACAATTTAGGGGACGTCCAAGAACTACAATAATCACAACTCTCCATAACGACCTCAACGAGATCCGGTTTACCAATAATCAATATCCAGATCAACTAAAAATTAAAAATGATATGGAGAAACTAAAATCACTGGCACAAAACAGAAATATTTGGAAAGGGCTCATCGAGGAATTAAGCAAAGCGGCCGAACTGTCATAGGACTGTTTGGCGATGCGGCGATGATGATGATAATGTAATTCAAAAAATATAAATAAATGGAAGTGTGATACACTTAATGCCTGTCTCTTATACACATCTAGATGTGTATAAGAGACAGACCAAGTACTGATTTTTGGCCATATGGTTGATCTTCTGTTCAGGCTCGTATGTCTCTGGGTCTAATTACACTGGGCACGTCACTTCCTAATAGCAATTCAATAGGTGCTCTAAAAATAAGTGGATAGATTTCACTGGCATTGCATTGCAAGTGGTCCCACTTACTAGCTACTTATAGAGTGGAAATTTGCGAACGACTAGCGGGAATGCCTTTCTGATTGAACTGTCCTGACCCTGTCTCTTATACACATCTAGATGTGTATAAGATATCTGTTGTACTTGTGCTATTGTCGTTAATCTCTTATTGTTGTTAGTGTAATACTACAGTACAAAGTATACTTAGTTATGTAATATTAACGATCATAAATAAACTACACTAATCAGCTTGCTTGAATTTATTCAAATAATTATTTTCTTCTGATTGTTTATACCGTGATAAGGGTATACATATTGGGTTGTCACGATTTTCCAAAGTTGGAACTATATAATACTATATTGTGATTATTATTTTAACAATAGACATCTGACAATATGTTGTTTTTAGATACAAAACAGCATATTATTGTCAGATGTATATGGCCATCATTGTTAAAATAATTTAAAAAACCCGACAATTCCTCTGATTTACATAAGGTGACGATAACTTGGGTGGCAAATAGCTAGGTGGCAATGGACCTATGTGATTCTGCCTAAACATTATCTGGTCTATCTGCATTGTTAGCTTTTATGGTAAATTGCAAATTTTACTTTTCCAGTCAGCAACCTGTGTGGTAAAATATACAATGTTATTAATGGCATTGTATATTTTACCACACAGCAACATGTTCAAAATTTAAATTTTAGTGGGCTTCAATGATTGTTCTTTGGAATAAACTTGACGATGAAGGCATCCTGGAGGAAAAGTTACTCAGACATCTTTGGAGAGATGAGCTCAACAAAGATGAAGGCAATTTTGAAGTCCTCTTGGAATTAATGAAGCAGTTTGGACTGCTCTGCGAACAGATCAAGGTACCGAATTTAAATTGATGATTTTGTTTTTACAAAAACAACACAATTATGAGTTTTAATTTTTGTAAATGGTATTTCAAACTTTATTCAATGGTATTTATACTGCTTTGACGATCAAATATCAATTAAGAATGATTATAGTATGTTTCTAAATTAATGAGTTTTTTTAGTTCTCTTTTCAAAATTTATATCTTTTAAATTGTGTAGAATGAGGAGGGCTCACACCGCTCATTTTTTGTACCCTGTCGATTGAAACTTAGTGACAACAGCATGGATATTCAGCCAGATACTGATCAGATGGTGTCAATCTGTATGGCCTCTGAGGATTTTCTTCCTGACAGTATCTTTCATACTCTGGTAGTCAGCCTTATTGGAATGGTACAAGACATGGGCTACACAGTCGTACCACAGTTGTACAGAAACATGGCAGTCATTCACCTCGGATATGATCACCTTCTCAGATTAGGTCAAATAGTCATTAATAACAAGCTTTCGTTGAAGGTATTATATTATTTAATGTTAAAGTCATTATTTAAAAGAAAGTATGATTAAGTAGGCCTAGTTTCAACTTCAATTTGTATTCATAATCAACAAGAGTCAAAATTTCAAAAGATATATTGAACGTTATAAAATTGCATTAATAATGAATACTCTAACACCAATTGTTTATTTGTCTATAGTAATAGCTATAGTAGCAGTTAAAATGTAGCACTGGTAAATTTGTTTCCTTTGATGTATAACGTGTACAACTGCTTAGAAAGATTTTTCCATTTTCTTATCTTACAAAATGCTGATAAGACATTGCTGATATGAGTAATTGCTCATGATAATTGGAGTGTTAATCCTGTATACAGTAATCGATCATTTTAAAACAGTAAATATGAGAACAGACCCAGTATGTAGCGTAGGCCGAGCCCTATGCCAACATTCCTGACTGTGCTTTGTAATTTGCAAACGCCGGTGGACCTAACTATAGACCTACCTAGATTACTGTACAGTATAACAGGCTATAGTAAGATGCATCATTATTTTACTAGTTCTTCAAAATAAAGATCGAAATATTGAAGGTACATAAAGTTTCCATGTAAGGCAGTGTTACACGCTGGCCTAAATAAAATCTGGTAAAAAAAAAAAGGTAGAACCTCCAAGAACAAGAAATAAATTTAATACAGAATATGATATAGATGATGACTTGTGGCGAAATATTTACTCTTTGTCCTTCCAGTGCACACGAGTAGGTAGATTACATGTGTTTAAATATAAAATCTTAACAAATTATTTAATATACTAATTATAAGTTGAATCTTGAATGAATAATACTGAGTCGAATCTTTGTTCAAATCTTTGTTCAAAATGGAAATTGAAACTGTGAAACATTTATGGGAATATAATCTTATAAATTATATGTGGGATACTTTTAAATTCAGGTGGGAAGCTTTAACAGGAACAATTATTACTTTTAATTTTAAAACCATCATACTGGGACATAATGTTAAAATCCGGATATACTACTGAATCTACGCATTTTAATTATTAAATCATTAATTTTTGCCTGTAGAAAAAGACCGTACTCATTAAATATTTGTTTATTCCTTAGAACTCCCCAATTTCATTTTATTATGGAACAACAGTGCATTAGAAACAGAGAGTCAGCTCAAATGAAATTCAGAAAAAAGTTTTAGAAGGGGATATTTGTACTGTTATAAAAATCATATTTATTCTGACTTCTTTATCAATGCTAATTGACTGGAGACTGTTATACTAATTTAGAGCCTATTATTATTATTATTATTATTATTATTATTATTATTATTATTATTATTATTATTATTATTATGATTCTTATTAACTATTATGTGAGAAAAGGGATTTTACAATATATCGGTGATTATTACGTTATGTTAATGTTTTATTGCTGACTTTTTTTTGTTGAAATTATTCGAAATAAAAAAAAAATACTCAAAATAAAAAAAATAAATAAAATCTGCCATTTCTATCATCTGTAGGCTTATAATTATGTGCTAACACACGGGTCTATACGGCGAAATGTTGACCTCACACTTCTGGCTAGCCATTAGGCTTATGTAGAAAGATGTATCCTCCGCTACCGTAGGTCAACTGAATCGAGAGACGTATACTGTAGAAAATATATAACATACTAATTTAAAACAAACGTAAATTCATGTGGGAAGCTTTAACAGGAACAATTATTACTTTTAATTTTAAAACCATCGTACTGGGACATAATGTTAAAATCCGGATATACTACTGAATCTATGCATTTTAATTATTAAATCATTAATTTTTGCCTGTAGAAAAAGACCGTACTCATTAAATATTTGTTTATTCCTTAGAACTCTCCAATTTCATTTTATTACGGAACAACAGTGCATTAGAAACAGAGACTCAGCTCTGAATCGAGGGACGTATACTTTAGAAAATTTAACATACTAATTCAAAACAAACGTAAAATCTGCTTTATCAGTTATAAATTAATTATAACGAGGGAGTTCTTATAACTGATTGAACTGTCCTGACCAAAGCTATCTCAAGAACAAAGCCTGCACGATCGATCACACTACACATTTGGAACCGTCCATTTTCCGAGGGGTATAAATATTTTTTAATACGATTATACGCATTTAAACTTGAGAAATTATTCATCATTTCTGATAATGACATACTTGATGTCGAAACATTTAACCCCAACACAATGGCGTGCATTTCAATGCTATACTATCTTATACGCATGTTGAACGAAAACATTTCAACGGGTAGACAATGGATTTGTTGCTTTGGGTACCACCGAATTCGGTATAAAATAACTAGTTTTTTGCATGAAATCCACATAAATTCAATTTATAGAGGTCGTTGTAATACAGAATAAATTAATGGGAATTTGCGTTGTTAACATACCATGCACAGCACTGTTAACAGGCCTAGGATAGGCCAAGACTAGGCGTTTATATAAAATGTACGATAAATAAATTAGATATTTAAGATTTATCGTTATTACAGATATAACATTTTTCTTTCTAAAATGAGGAGCAGCGATTTTTAATCGGGTGACATCCGAAAATCGCGATTCACTGCCAAATGTTGTTGGTTTCTTTATTGAAAGTCCTCAACGAATGGGGTCATTTGGGATTCGTTCAAACTTTTCAAGCTTGTAAGAAATATAAAAAATCGGTTTTCAAAATGTTATATTTTAACAACGACATTATTGTGAAATGTGCATATTTTCTCCTTGTTTTTAATTCCCTAACCAGTCCCAGCTAGGATATCTAGTAATTACAGTTAACTACTGATTTTCGTCAATGTAATCCATGGCGGCCTGCCGTGTTTATCAGGGATTAGTAGATATTTGGTGTTACGTAACACCCGGAACCGGGTGTATAGGCGAAAATTTAATGCTCTATGCAGTTGTACACGTACATATTGAGCAGTATTAACATTACAATGATAAAAATATTTATTTTTATGTTATTAGTTGGAGATATCACGCATAGATGAAGTGAAGGAAAATGGTACAGTGACATCAACTGAAGAACCCAGTCCTAGAGTTTGTATGCAGGTAACATACATTGATAATATAAACTCATTAGAGCTATAAAATTGCCCTGGTAAATAATTTAGGTAATGACTTACTCCTAGTAATATACATTGATGGCAACTAAAAATAAAAAAAATGAAATGATATTGACGACAAAAAAAATGTGTAGTAGTTGATGACTGATATAAATAATTAGAATTGTGCATATTACTATTAGTAGAGCAAGCTATGGGCCATAGAATGGACAAGTTGTGTATTTTATTACCAAAACATGAAACTTCGCACAAAATATCGTTGATATGCATAGATTAAAAAAAGTTGTGTGGCAAGTTTCTGACCCCTGTAATAGCCGCCATTTTGAATTAAAAATGACCGCCTACTAAAAATTAGATTCATATATCTTGACAAATCGTACTTACTTTTGTTTCTTTAGCTGTTCTACAATATTCAAATAATTATAATAATTTGTATATGTCCTCATTCTAATTGAAATTCGAAAATATGAGATGAGCCCCTAGGGACCTCTGGCATCCGCAGTCCAGTGCTATGAAAATTAACAGCAGCATATATACGGATATTTCCCTTAGCTCCCTCCCTCATCAAACCGCTCAGCTCAGATCTGGTAAGTTAAATTGCTTTTTAGAATTTCGTTTATTGAATTGTTTTTTAATTCTTTCATATAACTTAACATGTTAAATTGTTGTAATTCTTCTTAAGGTGTTAGAGTTTCTACAGCAGGAGATAAAAGTATTAACATCTAGAATGAAGCGCACAGGCTATAGATTTCGCGTCCTGTGTTGGACAAACTTGCAAGAAATACACTTCCACGATTTGGAAGAGTGCTTACAGAACAGTTTTATCCGGTGCGGCAAACAAATGGTTACGACGAGCAAACTACAAAGACTGTTCAGAAATATGAAACCCTTTACAGGTGAGTGACATAAATCAGCAAAGCACTGGGACCCAGGGCTATTAGAGGCCCATTCATAATAATAATTTAAAATAATTTCCAACTTAACTTTAAACAAAAAAGCGGGCCCCTAAATACTATTCTATTTTTATAGTAGTAATTATTGATTACAGTGGTGTGATCAAGGCTACCCAGTCGGAACGACTTTTAAATTTTTAAAAAAATCATTAAAAAAATGGGAAAAAAGGAAATTATATTAATTAAATTGTAAGTCTGAGAGTGCTATTTTCGGCCTTCTAGAGGTTCTATAGTCATAAGAGTTCCTACCCCAGCCCCAACCATGGTGGGGTTTAGGTGGTCTGTTAATATCCCTCCCTGGCCCGTTATACATCGAATTGCCTGATCCGCTACTACAATTGTTAAATTTTACGTGTCACCAGTTTTCTTGATTCGTTTGGAACAGCTGCTGAGACCGAATATGCCCCTCTTAATAGTTACAAATCCGATATCATTAGTATTTATTACTAACCTAAACCTTTATGAGTAGAAGGTAAATAAGCAACCCTTACGATAAATTCTCGGAAAACTTTAGGGAATTCCCTCGTCACATTAAATGGGCCAGCAAATAATCTTCCACTGGGGCCCTTTTGTACTCAGGTACGCCGCTGAGTAGGCCCCTTCTAACATACACTTTAAACAACTTGGTCTGTAAATATCTGTAATCTAATGGACATTATTTCTAATACTGTACTCAAAGCTTTGCACTGTATAGTACAATGCATTTTGTATCAACTCTTAGTTGCTGGTTCTTAGCGAAAAAGAAACAGCACCACGAGGTTTGTGTTTCTGACATTACTATTAGCATTTTATGCCTCTTGAATGTGATTTCTATTATATTCTATTTTTCATTTTATACTTTCCCTTTTTATTTCAGATGACCGTCTTGGGTATCTGAAAGATAAGGACCTATTTCTTATCGCCAGCGGTATTGGACTATATTGGAAGCAACTGGGCGTCAAATTGGGTCTCAGTTGGAACAGAATCCAACAAATTTGGAGTGATAACAGACTACGATCGCCAGACTGCATAATGGCTATGCTTACAGAATGGAGGAAACAACAAAACTACGAGACAAATCAAGTTGAGATAATGTGCAGCGCTATGAGTGAACAGGGACTACATGACCTTGCTAACAATGTCTTTAGCTCGCAACCGTCAGAGTATCAACCATCTCAAGTGAGAGAAAATGCTGGTGAAAGGCTACATCGAACGCCTCGGCAACACCATGGTCAGTAAATTATTACCATTATTAATATGTTCTTGACACTTACAAGTTATGTTTTGCCTTCCTGACGTGCTATATATATATTTTTTTCTCTTTTGTGGTAATCGCCCACTTTTATTTCAATACTTTTTAACACAAATGCAACAATTTATCAGCTCTCTTACTGAGCAATACACACTTATTTTTGTTCACAATAGGTTTCCTTTTTTTCTTTTTTTTTCTTTTTGTATTTTTGTAACTTTTACTGTTTCTACACATCAATTTATATTTATAAGGAGTAAACAAAAACCAAAGCCCAACAAAAATTACATGACAATAACACTCATTTGTCTTCTTATCACAGCTTCCATGTACGATGTTCATCCATTTTACTTTATCAGCTTTCTTTAGGCACAATCGTAACACATGAATTTTTTTCCAACATGAATCATTTTCTTTACAGTTTAACAGCATATGTTTTTCATTTTCTATTTCGTTACATGCTTTGCAGCAATCTTCGTTTGACAAGTTCCATATCTTTTGCCGACAATTCGTGGGCCGGATTCTGTGTAATTATTTATAATTAAATTGAGAAAGTTTTTTAATGTGTAGCATTGAGTGCACTTTCTCTTTTCAACAATATTCCCAGTTAATTGAATTGTTTTGTAATTCATTTTCTCATTTGATTTATTAAACATTTGGTATGCTATGTATTGGTTTTAAAAAAGATATGTAGAAATTATTAACATTTTGTTTCTTCAAAATAATGTCATAATCTGTTTTACAATCGTTTTCTCTGTGTGTTGAACAGTAAGGATTATATTTGATAATATTTTTTCCAACTATTTGGAATGGCTGCAGTTAATTTTGTATGCTCAATTAAAGCATCGTGTGGTTTTGAGAGACATGGAATTATTTCTTTCACCTTTTTAATTCTATCATTTACAATGATGTCACCTATATTTTTTATATTTGAGTCAATCCACAATTTATTAAAAAGAGATTTATTGTTTACAATAATATTATCATTTTCCCATTTTTTTTTTTTTTTGCATTTTTACCTCACATATGCAATGCGGTTGGATTTCCTCTATGTTATTATAACGGATACACGTATCAATAACATTCCTATAGAATATTGGTAATTTATTTAAGGAAGCATGTTCCTCTAGGTTAGCTTTTGACATACATATAGTATACTCAATAGGATGCATATAAAATAATGGAATACATTTCCATTTGCCTAGATCAGGATTTAGTAGCATTTTTATCCAACTTAGCTGAATGTGAGTCTACCAAGGAGTTAACATCTATCATTTTCATACCTCCTAGATTAATATTTTGAACCATAATAATTATTATTCTTTTTATTCTATCTTTTATTTCCTATTCCATAAGAAATTATATAAAATCTTATTTATTTTGGGAATAATATCTGTTACTAGCGTTGTGTATTACAAACGTAATAGCAAACGTTTTAATTATAGTGATTTTTTTAAACAAAGTTAAGTTTCTTTCTACCCATAATCTTAATTAAGGTGCGCTCTAAACATGCTACGTTATCATACCAATTTCTTTTTATACAAGTAACTTTATCGTAGCCCACAGAAATACCAAGAAATTTGACTGGTTCTTTAACAAAATTTACTTCCCAAGTACTGTTGGATTTATTCTGATTAGGACCAATCCACATGCCTTTTCAAATACACATCGAAATAATATAGTATATTAAGAAATCAAAGATATGTCGTAGGAAGGTATCAAATTTAAATATTTTTATCATAATGGATTCGTATAACTAGTGTAATTTTTTTTTTATTACATCCTTGTGTGATCAGATAATACATCATCAGAGGTCTGCGCCATGTCGAATCACTGGTTTATCATATCATTATTAAAATCGGTATTTCTTAGATGTCATTTTGATATATCCATACAAATACTAAAGAAGTTTATTCAAAATCAAATTTTATCTGTCATCTTCTCACACCGTTATTAATATCATCATGAATGATAAAGTTCTAAAACTCTGTGCCAGTAATTTCGGACATGTGTAAAATGTTGTTTGACTGTAAAGACGGTTATCTCATTGATGTTTTTTTTGTTAATCCCGATAATATAATTACTGTTCTTTCAGGTCAGTTGACAGATATCGATATGCAATTCGTTGCCACTAGACTTGGCAAAGACTGGAAAACCTTTGGCAGAATTCTTGGCCTGAAGCAACATGAATTAGACCAAATTGAGATGGAATTATTACTTCCAACTGTGGACTGCATCCTTGAAATGTTGGTAAAGTGGCGGGAACGTCAGAATTCTAAAGTAAATCACCTTCAAAAGATAAGTGAAGCACTGATAGAAATTGGAAGAATGGATATAAATGATGAACTTCAGCAGTACTACTTGGAAATTATTTAAATAAATGAATAAAAATAAGTGATTGCAGGAACATGTAGATACACATCAGAAAAATATGTAATAAAAAAGTAATATTACTAAATAAAAACAGGCCGAGCTGATCCAAGTTTTTTTTTCCGTGTGCAGATACTAGCAGATATCATATGGCATATCAACTAAAAACAGTAATAGATTGTGGGAAAAATATTTTCTATACCGTTGTGTATGGTCACATGGCAATTTGATGCGCACTTGTGATGGCTGGTTGGGAGGGCATGCGTTTGACACTAGAACACTAGCATTATATTAAAAATGAAGTTTATACATTTACACTCTAATTGTACCTCGCCCTTCAAAATATATTTTCCTGTGGTTATGAACTGTTTCTATAATAATCCATGACGTTTATTATTAATAAAACTGTATATTTGAGATTGTGTAATCAAAATGCAAGCCAAAATAGGTGGAAATTGAAGATTTTGCCTGTAACAAGCACTAAGGAAACATCGCAAAACGCTAGCCCCAGAGACAAGAAGCGACAGTCACATTGTCATCCTACGCAAGGTTCTCAACTCAGTAGCGGACACGGTAAACAAAAAGATAAAAAAATAATTTCGAACCACTTAATACATACTATTGACACAATATACCAAAGACTTGTAACAGTTATAAGTCCTTGAGTAGACACTCATTGGATGAATGTACAGGCTACCGCTTCAGCGGTTTTGTTCTGTTATTATTTTTATTTGCATTCTAAAACACAAGACAATTGCATTAAAAAGGTGGTCGCCGAAACTGCAGCAAAAAATAAAAAAACATACACAAAATCAGACCAAAGATTTAAATAAAAGACAATTATTTTTGCAAGCATTAGCATTCTGCAAATGAGGATTTTAACATTCTTAAAATTTCCTCTTAATATCATGTGAATTTAATCTATGGGTTTCGAAAGCAATCTGGTTTACATTTTTTTTTTTTGGTGTATTCATATTGTTATTTTTTTTTTTTAGCTTACTGTCAACTGCTGTCTCTATAATCTCAGAATAAGTTTTAATACTAATTTTACTTTCAAGTTCCTTAACTTCCTCTTCTATCAATCAAATCACATAAATTGCAATCTATTCTAAAACCATTTAACATTAACTGTAAACGTTAAGCCACACACTCTGTAAATAAAATTTTATCAGTTGTCCGTGGGATTGTAAAGTATCACTCAATGATTTTTGTAAAATCCATGAATTATCTTAATCAAAGGTATAAGAACCAGGCCAAAAACTAAATGCGACATATCTAGTCAAAAATTTTCTTTTGAGGTAAAACATTACCATCATTTTTGGTTTCTTTGTTCCATAAGAATTTAAAACAATGTAGTGTATTTCATTAAATGTAGTGTATTTCAATAAATAAACTAGGAGGCATTGAAAACCGTTTGGAATTGGAATTAAAAGTAATTTAATCAAAGTAACTTTACCAAGTAGCGTAAGTGAGCGTTGCTGCCATACATTAATAATGATATCAATTTTATTTACTTTATTACGGAAATTTAGCTCTTTTCAGCTGCAACAGTTGAAAAACCCAGACATCCAAGCTTAAGGTTTTAACACATCGTCTAAAGAAAATGGAGGAGGACATGATGACAAAATATGAAAATCGTAAAGGCACATAGGGTCGGAAGCAATTAATTGAAAACACAAATAAATGGTGAGCCTCATCCGCGGCCCCTTTACATATTTGTCAGTTTCCTGTATCGTCCTAAAAGCAAGCAGTTTTCCAGAAGGCCAAAATATTAATATGTTTTTACCTCTTCAGAAATATTTCAAACTGAAGAATTTTCTGCTCTCGATGTACTAAAAAAGTGCCTACGAAAGTGGGCAAAAGCCTGTTTTTAGGAATGATAACTCTTTATTGATGACAAAGAGTTCAAATCATCTTCTTAATAGCACATTAATATACTATGTCTTATGACTTATATCGTAACCGTTTTCACAAACTTGAGTTTCGACCAAAACAACGTTTTGAAAAAAAAAAAAAAAAAAAAACGCGTTTGAATTGAACTTCTTCACAAACTGTGAATTTCACTATCAAGATATCAAAATCTTGAATATAATTTTTCATATTTAAAGATAAATCGTTAAACAATTCAAATGTTTAATTTAATTATCTCTTCTTAACTTAAATTAACCTTATTAGCGTGAAAAGTGTGTGTCTAAAAACAATAAAAATAAACCCAGCATAGGCTGTTTATACCTACAGCGACCTTTTTTGTCTGTCGGTGAAAACGAAAATCTCATTTTCGCGTTCTACAATCTCCGTTGTCAAGAATAGGCTAAAGTATATGATTAGCCTATGTTTTTTTTTTCAATTGTAGCCCAGGGTGATTATATGCCTACAATCTAGGCTTATCCTGCTTAAACCATTATGTTTTTTTAATACCTCTACACTTGATGTATGTGTATACACCTATTTCACGTTATACTGCAATAAGGGTACCGTCATACCTAAGAAATTTAGTGAATCTAATATCTACATCTAGCCCTACACCAGCCAGGCCTTAACTAGCCGATTGCAGCGATTGCAACGCCGTGCGCGCGTCTTTTGATAACCCACTGAAAGTTGTGTCTGCTCGTGAAAACGGAAAAATCAGCTTGTATTGGTTTGTACGCTATCGATTAGATCTAATTATCTAAATAATGTAGCTGCACTTTTAACAATTATGTGAAAAGGTAGAGGTTAATGTAAAGTATAAATATATGACAAAATTATTTTTTTTTTAAAGTTGATATACTTTCGTGGTGTCGGTGATGACTTGTACTAATATTAGTACAGTACCTAAATATAGAAATTTAGTTTAATACAGTTTAGGTGAACTGGCTGACAATGATAAATTATATAATTTATCAGTAAATAATATTTTTTTTATGGCTACTTTTACGTTTACTTTTACTTATGTATATATCGACAGTTTTCAAGATAGATGTTACCGGTATCATATGTATATACCTTTCAGCAGTTACTTATCTTTCTTATTTAAGTTATATAATTTTAGGTAATTGTTCAGGACTCGAATTTTATTTGCACGTTTAGTGATGGATAATAATACTAATAATAAATTATATAATTTATCAGTCTATAATTATTTTTCGCTCTTTTTATTGCTACATTTACGTTTACTTTTACTTTATATATCAACAGTTTTCCAGATAGATGTTACCCCTATCAAATATACATATTTTCCAGCAGTTACTTATACTTCTTATTCAAGTTAACCCACCATAACCAAACATTAAGTATCATTGATTAGTAACGCATTTCCAAGATTTACGTGACATTATTAAGTATTTGCTCTCGTTTCATCAAACTAAACCAATTACCAGACAGTGCTACGTCGGTACCGCAATATTGCGGAAATATATTCGTTATTGACTTCTGAATAAAAAGGTCAGAACAAACCGTAACCGCAGTACACATAAAACGAAAGTAGCTCATAGTCTCGCAATATTAAATTTATTCACCATAATAATAAAACAATCAAATATACTTATTTCATATTAGAATTGTTTGTAACTTAATAACACGTTA